ATCAGCCTTCTAAGCATAGGTTACAAGGTCTTATCGAGCATATTGTGTGAAAGAATGAAGCCCACCGCCAATGAACTGATTGGGCCTTAACAGTGTGGCTTTAGACCTGGCAAATCCACCATAGACTAGGTATTAACAACACGCCAAATCTTGGAAAGACCCGCGAGAAAATTATCGACACTCACCACCTATTTGTTGACTTTAAAGCCGCTTTTGACAGCACTAAAAGGAGTTGCCTATACGCCGCTATGTCTGAATTTGGCATCCCCTCAAAACTCATACGGCTGTGTAAAATGACGCTGAGCAATACCACCAGCTCCGTCAAACGGGGTTTCAGACAGGGCGACTCCCTTTCATGTGAATTCTTTAATCTGATGTTGGAGAAGATAATAAGAGCTGCAGAACTGAACCGCTCAGGAACAATTTACTACAAGAGCGTGCAATTGCAGGCCTATGCCGATGACATCGACATCATCGGTAACAAAAACCGCGAAGTCTGTTCTGCCTTTTCCAAGTTGGATAGGGAAGCAAAGCGCATGGGTCTGGTGGTAAACGAGGACAAGACGAAGTATCTCCTGTCATCAAACAAACAGTCAGCACATTCGCGCCTTGGCACCCACGTCACTGTTGACAGTTACAATTTCGAGAAAGTAGAGAATTTCGTTTACTTGGGAACCAGCATTAACACCGATAATAATGTCAGCATGGAAATCCAATGAATAATCACTCTTGCCAACAAGTGCTACTTTGAACTGAGCAGGCAATTCAGGAGTAAAGTCCTTCCTCGACGTACGAAAACCACGCTCTATAAGTCACTCATCATGCCCGTGCTGGTATATGGCGCAGAAGCATGGACAATGACAACATCCGATGAGGCGGNCAGGAGTAAAGTCCTCTCTCGACGTACGAAAACCACGCTCTATAAGTCACTCATCATGCCTGTGCTGGTGTATGGCGCGGAGGCATGGACAATGACAACATCCGATGAGGCGGCTGTTGGAGTATTAGAGAGAAAGATTTTTCGGAAGATTTACGGACCTTTACGCGTTGGCGACGGCGAGTACCGCAGACGATGGAACGATGAGCTGTATGAGCTTTACAACGACATAGACATANATAAGTCACTCATCATGCCCGTGCTGGTATATGGCGCAGAAGCATGGACAATGACAACATCCGATGAGGCGGCTCTTGGGGTGTTTGAGAGAAAGATTTTGCGGAAGATTTACGGTCCTTTACGCGTTGGCGACGGCGAGTACCGCAGACGATGGAACGATGAGCTGTATGAGCTTTACAACGACATGGACATAATGCTGCGAATTAAAACACAGCGGCTCCGATGGCTTGGCTATGTCGTTCGAATGGACACCGACGCTCCAGCTCTGAAAGTATTTAACTCGGAACCCGCTGGTGGTAGCAGAGGAATAGGGAGGCCCCCACTGCGACGGAAAGATCAGGTGGAGAAGGACTTGGCTTCACTTGGCGTTTCCAAGTGGCGTCAGTTGGCAAAGAGGAGAAACGACTGGCGTGCTTTGCTGAACTCGGCCAAAATCGCTTAGGCGTTACAGCACCAAAAAAAGAAGAAGAAGGATTCATGAATGGGCAACAGCGAGTGTCCTGCTTTGGCCACTTTTTATATGAAGCCACAACATGGTGCAAAGTTGCAGACAGCAACTGGTGAGTCACCCAATTGATAAGAAACGCACTATATGAGGTGATTATCGGGGGCGCAGCCTCGTACACTAAGTTTATAGTGGCAGAAATTGTGGATAAAAGTCATCATCGGCGACAGGAAAGTGCAACTTAGGGTTGGTTACGACAACCAGTACTTCAGCAGACGGTTGGTATTAAAGGAAGCCCCCAAGATTCCACCAACAACAGAAGCGGTTAGTTAGGCAGATGTTGGCAGTGATGAAGACGGAGTGGTTTCGTTAGGAGAAGCGTGAGGGCTCCGCCAGCTCAGTAAAGAAGAGGAAGTCACAATAAGGAAGTATTCATGACAAGCCAGGCCGTGTTTCCGGCAGGAAGAGAGACACTGAGCTACGTTGAAATGGTGATACGCCGGTGGCCGGAAATGGAGGCGGCTGTGAAAGAAGTGGGCGCGCTTCGATATATCCAAGAAAAGAGCGTGGTTGGCAAAGGCAAGCAGTAAAGCCGGAGGCTACGGATGAGCTTATAAGTGTCCGGTCAATGAAGTTGACGTCGGCGAAAGAGCGAGATGTGTAAACACTAGGTAAGTTTCAGCGAGAGGATCCGGAGTTAGCAAGATTTGCTAGACGCAGTTCAGGTCGAGGATCGAAGCCTGGTAGTCATCTACAGAGGAATCGGCGTAAATCCGGCGAAAAGGGTACCCATGAGAAGAGGCATGGGCTGGTTACAACTAGTGGTCGTTAGAAGCACGACCATGTGAGATGGTGCACTCTCGGAGATAAGCCGGGAGCAATGTCCAATAATGCATCAAGCCGAGAGGGTTTCAGGAAGGCGACTTGGTGTGGAAATACAAGCCGCAGCGAAAGAAAGGCTTCACCTCCAAACAACGACGTAACTCTAAAGGTCCGGGTATAATATTGTCCAACGGTTGAATGACGCAGTGTATCGAATTCAGACTGTTGGGAGACCGAGAACCAAGATGAAAGTGGTCCACTTGGAAACGCTTTGTAGCGTTTGGAACAGCAAGTATGTCTGATCGGAACGATCAGACTCAGGTGGAGGGCAGTGTGGCAAATACTGCGGCAACGCGAAGCGAACAACATCAAAATGGCAGAATGTTCGAGGAATGACGTAAAATATTCGACAGCTTGAAACGTCTGGTGATGAATACTGCGAACAGAGAGAATATGGATGTGTCAGAACCTTCAAGTGTGCGAGGCAGTGCAGAATTCAAAATTTTGGTGGAAGTTTGTCGAATTGTCCTAAACTTTGCAAAAACTTTGAATCATTAATTTATATGTCCTTTGATGCAGAATGAACTATATTTCTATTAAAAATTAACAAAAAAAAAGTATTACGAAAAACATTGCAAAATATTAAAAAAAAAGCACTCCTACATTAAACGGTGCCTTTTGAATGCAGTTTTAAGACATTTTTGAGGTTTGTATGGGAGGTATGCATTAAAATAAACCAATCACATCGGTTTTTCTTTTTTTTCATTTATGTCCAATTTTCTACAAAAAAATTATGGTGCTGAACCACTGTGCGCCACTATAAAACAAACTACATTTAAAAGTGGTGTACGTTGGAGAGGAGAGTTCAAGAAATTTTTTGCAAAAAACCCGAACAAATTCGATTCAGTTTTAGCTGAGCTGTGAAATAATATACACAATTTTAGGCTTTATTTTATAAGATGTAGAGATAAAGATGAAGATATTTTTATGATGATGTTTATAAACCAACATACCCCAAACACTAAGACTACTGATTCATCTTCGATATTTTGGCGTGTGAAACTTCCCTGCTGGAATAACTCAATTGCGCGATTAATAAAAATGTTTTCATCCAACTTTGAACCATCTGGTTTAGCAATCGTACGCTCTGTAATTAACTTTTAAAAGAGAGTTTATTGTTAATATATAGGTATAAACATTGGAACAAAATTTAATAAAAAAGGGTATTCACCATTGTGCACACATACAATTTAAAAATACACCTCTTGCTGGTAAAAATTAACTGTCAACAGTTTTTGGTATTTTAATGACGAAATGCAAAAGCACGCATGCTAAAAGTGACTAATGTTATTAAAATAAACCTAAATTGTCAAGAAATGCATTCAACTTACGTAATAAATAGTTGTTTCATCAGCTGTGAGTAGCGTAACTGCCATACCAAAACAAAAGCGTTGGGCGGAGCGGTTTCTGACGCCTAGCGTTAGCGCCGAAGTGGCATACCTAAACAAAAGCGTCAACGCTAAATTGATTTTAACGTTTCAAAGCATTTTGGTGAGTAACTTTTAATTTTACTAGAAGTTTTTTACTTCTACCTATCATCAGAACCTGCTTAAAGTTTTTATAGGTATTGAGAATAACTCTGCAGCAATCGAAATTTCAGCTGTAAGGTGTTTTTGAAAAATTTGTAAGTATGCACACTGGTCTTAACTTACGTTGTTTATGAATTTACGGATATTAGCCTTGGATTTCTTGTATTGTTCATAGTCGCCTAGCATCCAAACCAGTGCCCTCATGTTAAGCCAAGATAAGGTACCCATTTCGGTAATAGTCTCTTGAACACTAGATGATTAAAGGAAGAGTAATAATTTGTGCATACAATACATATATATTTATGCAAAAATGTATGTGGGTATGAGCCTATGTACATATTACGGACGTTCTCGATCTTTTGCTTGCAGGTTAGCATGAGGGATATTCCTATACGACGAGATATATGTATGAAAAAGTGCAAAATTCCGAATTTTTTTGCTCCCCGCCAATTTTTGAATATATTGAGGATATAAAATAAGGTAGGCAGAAAGAAAAGGACATCTCTATTCGAAAAATCCGTTTGCCGTTTTTTGCCGCTAATTAGTTGTGACAAAAAATAATTTTGTCGTTCTTTTATTTTTTGATATAAGGGGCTTTGCTAACTTTATATAAAGCTAGCGAAGCAACCCTTTCAACTCAATAGGCTTTATATCCGAATTTTCCGTTCCAAGATAATCTAGTTTACTTTTGAAATTTTTTTTAATTCTTTTTTTTTTTTGCAAATTTTTTCAATGTTGTTTATTTCTTAGAACGAAAGGATAATTAAAATAAAAAATCAAAATCGGTTGCTTTATGTAATACTTCGAAATTTAAACAAACAATAATCACAATGTAGACAATTCAAAAAATTAAGAAATGTCCTTATCAAGTTTATAGAGTTCAAGATTCATAGAAAATTGCTATATAAATTTGATCACCTAATCTGCGTAAACTTCGCCTCAAATAACAGTTGCCTTTTGTTTGAATAAATAATAATAATTGGATCGACTCTCAGCCTCTTTAAATAAAAACAAAAAAGTTGCAACTAAAAAAAGAACGAAAAAATTAAACCCGTTTTTACAAAAAAATTAATTGGTTGCATCATTTTTATAACATTTTTTGGATTGCAACGATTTAAACGGCAAAATCTAAAAGAGGTTTAAGTCACAAAGCAAGCCAAACTACAAATCATGCTGCAAAAAATAAATTGTTTTTATTATTATTAACCCATTTTTTGAACCGTTTTTTAAAGAAAGAAAATTAAACAACAAAATCAAAAACAGTTTTAGTTCAGAAAATAAGCCAAACCGCAGATTATGCAAAAAAAAAATTATCATTTTTTTAACTAATTTTTAAGCCGCTTTTCCAGTCCCTAAAATTGTTATATACATAACAAAGATTCAAGGAAGCTATATCCACCTTGGTGGAATAGTGACTTATCTAGACTAAGTAAAGAAACTAGGAGAATTTTCAAATCCTGTTACAAATCTAAATCTTGCAAGCCATACCAAGACATTATGAAAAAGTATAAAAGTGAGATTCGGCGCTCAAAAAAAACAGCATGGGAGAGCCNCGCCAGGCTGAGCAGGCTATTGACGAAGGACTACTCCTGTCCGTCACTCCTTCGCAGTGCGGATGATGTACCAACAGAGTCTGTGGAAGACTCACTCAGGTTGCTTGTCAATACTCATTTTCCGGGTAAATCTGACGAAGTGTTCAATCCGATTCCAAGATATGCTGGAGCTCAGCACATAGCAGACTCAATTTTCACAAATCCCTAAATATCATGGGCGTTGAAGTCCTTCTCGCCTTACAAAAGCCCGGGGCCAGATGGCATCATACCTATCATGTTGCAAACTGTGGAGGATGCTATTATGCCATGGCTTTTGTCCATTTTCAAAGTATGCATAACCCTCAACTACGTCCCTCTATCGTGGAGGCGAGTAAAAGTGGTTTTCATCCCAAAACCTGGAAGGCGAGGGCACGTCTACGCCAAAGATTTTCGACCCATTAGCTTAACTTCCTTTGTCCTCAAAACGTTCGAGAGGGTTCTGGACACGCACGTCCGGGGGTTTTTCCACGGCAAACGCATGTCCGAAGCGCAGCATGCATATTTGCGGGGACGATCCACGGAGACGGCGCTCCATGGGGTCGTTAGAACTGTCGAGAGGTCACTCGAATTTAAGCAATTCACTCTGGCAGCCTTTCTCGACATAGAAGGAGCCTTTAACAATGTTAGGGTAGAAGCTATCCAAAAACCCCTTCACGAGTTAGGCGTCGAGGAGTCTATTAGCGCGTGGCTAATGGCGATGCTTCGCAGCAGAACGATTTCAGCTGAACTTGGTAGCTATACATTAACAAGAAACGTTAGTAGGGGCACTCCTCAAGGGGGAGTGATCTTTCCTATTTTATGGCTCAGCACTATCAACTCAGTACTACTCAAGCTCAACCAGGGAGGAGTAAAGGTAGTGGCCTACGCTGACGATGTAGTGATTTTAATAACCGGGTTATTTCCATCTGTGGTGAGTAACATCATGGAGGGTACTCTAGCAAAGCTTAGCCGGTGGGCCGAGCAATGTGGTCTTAGAGTGAACCCAGAGAAAACAGAATTAATGCTCTTTACGACAAGAAATAAGGTCCCAAGCTTTGAATTACCAAAGCTAAATGGACAAAGGCTGCGATTATCTAAACAAGCGAAGTATCTGGGAGTCATACTGGATCCTAAGCTAAGTTGGAAAATAAATATTGAAGAGAGAGTAAAGAAAGCGAGCATTGCCTACTACTCCTGTAAGCGGCTTTTTGGGAAGACATGGGGTCTCAATCCAAAAGTTGTACTCTGGATGTACACAGCGGTTGTACGTCCGATCTTATGCTACGGTTCTTTGGTATGGTGGACAGCCTTAAAGAACCAATATAATCAAGTGAAACTAGGCAGAGTTCAGAGAGCTGCATGCATCGGGACCACAGGGGCAATGAGAACTTGCCCTACCGATGCCCTAAATGTTATTACAAACCTATTTCCTATAGACCTTCACATACGGCACACCGCATCACTATCGGCTATAAGACTTGGAGAACTAGGTATATGGAAAGAAAGAACGATCGGGCATAGCAGTATAATTTCCCGTTTGCCAGCTAAGTTGAGGCTGGCAACCGATCACATTCGACCTGAGGTAGAGTTTCACAGGCCTTTCGCGGCCATTCTTCCGTCGAGAGCCGACTGGGACGGGGAGCTTGATATCTCTACCTGGACACATCATATGTACACCGATGGCTTGAAAATGGAACGCGGAGTTGGAGCAGGTATTTACTTTGAGTCACTGGGAGTAAAAAGATCAATTCATCTGCCCGATTTTGCGAGTGTCTTCCAAGCAGAAGTATTCGCTATAGCCGAAGGCTGCCGGATCTCACCCCCAATTGGAACCTTATATAAAGACATTTCTCCACAATCTCCGGAAATCGGATCAAAGATGGCGCACCGTGGCAGGCTGCCGTTTATCCAAACTATTGTGGCCTGCGTACAGCCCTGAGAGAACACACAACCTACTAAGGAAACCCAGATCTGACGTTGCAAGGCTTGTTGCTACTCTTACTGGGCATTGGCCGATTGGTACCCACGCGAGACGGCTGGGAATCGCCTACAACGACTTCTGTAGAAGCTGCAGAGATGAGAACGAGCAGGAAACAGTAGAGAACCTGCTTTGCAAATGTACAGCTCTAATGAGGAGCAGAAATACCATGCTAGGAGCATATGAGTTCACATCGTTACGAGAGCTATCTGATGTAAGTCTCCGCAACATACTCAACTTCATCAACCACGCCGGCTGGCTCTAACATACTCATTCGAGGTATATGGTATCAAAATGGCACTTAGCTGCTACTTGGGCGTAATAGTTTTCCGCCACCATTCTAACCTTACCTAACATAAGATGGTTTAAAGAAGTCAATTTGAACGACAAAATCAAAAACAGTTTTAACTCACAAAAAAAAAATCATGTGTGTGCATCAATGATTGTTTTTTATCGTGTTGTCGATTCGGTGTGACTGCTGGACATTTTTAAGTTTAATTTGATGCGGAGGAACTCAATCAAAGGGAGCGCTGAATCCAACGCATATTTCATATTAAAATTCCCACTTAAAATCATCGTAATTTTATTGTAGTCTTTTTCAAGAATCTGCGATACTTCTGGTGTGTATTTCATTAAACTCTTGTGGGTGAATTCAAAAATTTTATTTACTGGCTGGTTGCGAGAAATATAGATTGCCACAAATATGACGGTTCTCTTATGGTCCAATCTAGCACATATTTCTCCCATATTAGAAATTTGAACAGATATTGATTCCAGTTGTTTTGCATTGAGTTCTATTTGTGGAGTAACAAAACGGGCTCCGTCATGTGTGTTATGATAGATTACAACTCTGCCTGTTCTCTTCATTGGTTTTTAAATTGAATTACTATATTAAAATTAGGAATGTCTAAAGTGTTCTCATTATCCAACCATGTCCCTGAAACCCTTAGAAAACTCGACGATGATGCTATTCTGTACGTGAGAGCGTAAACATTGAAGGTAATCCTTTCCTTGTATTATAAAATCATATGTATAATGTTTTTTCCATTGTTTCAAGTCGATTCAGATGCGTCCTCAATTGTGGATAATGTTGCTCTCGAACCATTATAAAGTTTCCTATATTTTTTTTTTTTTGAAACGAGATGTTGCCCTTGAATCGAAGTTGCTCATGGCAATGCGACGTACAGGAGCTGTTGAGTGTATCTGATCGCACCAAATGACCTCCTTGGGACTTATGAATCGTTATCGCACACGCAAAGATAAGAGGAAAATGGTAGCGCTTTACCATTATTCATTTATAAGGTACTGATGCGATCTATTGTTACCACCAGTGGAGAAAGTTTGAGCTTTTGTATTGATGCCGCTGCTTTTTTCTCCAGTTGTGGGGGAATCAGGATATTCCATCATTAAACGAGCACACAACGCACAAACTTTTATTAGCTTATTGGCTACCCTACGAAAATCTCTGGACGATGTGGTTCATTTGTGCCATATTCGGGTACATAATTACAAAATACTCCTCTGCAATGCAGTAGCGGGCCAGCTCAGCTTATTTTTAACCGATCATTGCTCGAGTTTTAACGATCGTAATCCCTACACGATGTTTATTAAGCTGTGTAGCCGATAGGTACATATGTACTCCATGGAGTAATCCCTTGAACAAGTTTTGTGCTACTCTGGTGTAATGCAGAGTTGGAGTAT